TGTGCTCTGTGCTCCTCGGTCCCCCTCCACCCGGGTTTGCCGTCCCCTTTGAGAACCCTGCACACATCCAGCTGCGCTCCTCCCTGCCCCCCAGCCCCCCTCTCTGTGTCCCATGGGGAGACCCCCGCCTCTGCACTCCTGCTCCTGGTGGGCAGCCCCTCGCTCCCCCCCCCACAAGCAGCAGGCTGGCTGCCACCCTTCCCCAGCGCCTTCATGGGGCTGCTTCCCACCGTTGGGACCCCCCCATTTCCCTCCTGCTGGGACGCAGACCCCCCCGGGGCACTCAGTGCTTCCCAGGGACAGACCTCAGCCCTCGGCCCCGCGCTCCCTGCACTCTGTGCTACACACAGGGCGTCAGTGCCAGAGGGCTGCATGGCCACCGAGGGTGACATCGGACCCTCACCAGCGCCCGTGCCCCCCCCGGCGGCACCATCCTTCTGTCCCTCTGCCGTCCCCTCGCTGTCCCCCATCATTGGGGTCTCAGATGCAGAGCTGGCGGTGATGCACTGAGAGGGTTCCACATCCCCATCCCGCAGGTTGGGATCTGGGCTGCTCCCTGCTGGGGGCGGCGGGGGGGTCTCTACCAGACCGGGCTGCCCCCCCCCCGCCACCCTCCTCCTGCTCACGTCCCCGTTTCAGATCGCTGCTCTCTCTGCTTTCTTTCAGGCTGCGTTTCGCTCTGGAGCGGTTGATGGCTCTGATGGCAAACCCCAAACTTCTGAAAGCCTTTTGTGGGGGCGGCTTGAGGCTCGGGGGGGTCCCCGCCGTGTCCCCGGGGGGGTCGGAGGTCGGAGATTGGCCGCTATTCTGCTTTTGCCTCAGCATCTCCTCCTGGAGCAGCTCCCACGGACAAACCTCGGCGGGGATGGGGGGAGCGGAGCGCAACTCCGACGGGGGGGACGCGGGTTTCGCTGCCGTCCCCGCAGGCGGCCCCGGAGGCTCCGCGCTGTTCCCGTGGCGGTGCGGGAGGCTCTGGTAGCGCACGGGGGGGGGCGGGGGGGTCCTCTTCACCACCACGCGCACCCGCCCCGCGGGATGGGGGCCGTCCGCGCTGACGCTTTTAACGGGCGCGTAAGTGACGCGTTTCGTCCCCTTGCTGTCAACCGGGGGGGAAGCATCACGGGGGGGACCCCCGTCCGGCAGCGGGGCGGGGGGGGGGTGGCCGCGGCCGGGGTTGCAGAGGTGCAGAGGGACACCCCTTCCTGCTCCGAGGGTCCCGAGGACGGGGTGACCGCGCCCGCACCGGCGCTCAGCGACTTCTGCAGAAGCACCGCGCGGAGCCGGGTGGGCTGCCCGTGCCCCCCGAGCTGCTGGGCGCTGGCCGATCTGGGCAGCAGCGGAGAGGCGCACAGAGATTCGCTGTCGGAAGGCTCCGCGCAGCCCCCCGCCGCCGCGTCCTGTGCCGGATGCTCGGAGCTGCGGGATCGGAGCTGGCCGCCCCCCTCCCGTCCCCCCCCGCCGGTACCGTCGTGCGGCCGTTTGGACGAAGAGCGGCGGCTGCCGGAGCTGCGGGCCGGGGGCGGCGCGGGGAGGTGCGGGTTGCGGGCCGCCATCCGCCTCGTCCGCAGCGTCTCCAGCTGCGCGTACAGCTGCTTCAGCTCCTCCTGGGGGTGTGGGGGACAAAAGGGGGGGAGCGCGTCCGACGGGACCGAACCGGGACCCGACGCCGCGCCCGTCCGATCCGCCCCGCCCCGCGATGCGCCATCACCGCGTCCCCGCGAAGGGAAACCGCCCAGCCCCGTCCTCCCACCGGCCCCCCCGCTTTGCATCAGGAGAAAGATCGCAACAGGCACCTCTTCCTGTGCGGGGCGGCACAGCGAGCGTCAAAAGAAGGTCCCGAGCGCGTCACCCACCCGGATGTCATCGGGGTCGAAGCTGCGCTCGCTCCATGCGGACGCGATGCTGCTGCTCAGCCCGGAGCGCCGCGCGTCCACCTCATCCTCGTACACCTCCGCCGCGATCTCCTCCCGCAGCGGCGATCCGGCGTGCAGGAACTGCGGCGGGGCAGCTCGAAGGGAGCCCCAAACACATCGGAGCCCGCGGCCACTTCCCCATAACCGCCGCCCCATAACCGCCTCTGCATTGCCTACTTCCCCATAAACCACCTGCACTGCCCACCTCCCCATATCCCACCTCCTCATAGCCACCTCCCATACCCGTCACCTCATAATCACCACCCCACTACCCACCTTCCCATAATCATCACCCCATAGCCACAACCTTAGAACCGCTGCCCACCTCCTCATATCCCATCTCCCCACTGCCCAACACCCCATAGCCACCTCCCCATAGCCATCATCCCATACCCAAAACCCCATAGCCACCACCTCATAACCACTGCCCCGCTGCCCACCTCCCCATATCCCACCTCCCCACAGCCACCATTCCATAACCACTCCCCATAACCACCATAACCCCATTACCCACCTCCTCATATCCACCACCCCCCTGCCCACCTCCCCATAACCACCACCCCATAGCCACCACCTTGTAACCACCACCCCACTGCCCTCCTCCTCATATCCCACCTCCCCACTGCCCAACTCCCCACAGCCACCACCCCACCGCTCACCATCCCACACCACCACCCCACGGGCCACCTCCCCATAGCCATCATCCCATATCCACCACCTCCCCACAGCCACCACCCCACCGCCTCCCCATCCCCCATAGCCGCGGGCTTAGGGCCGTGCGTTACCTTGGGGACAAAAAGCAGCCCCAGGGTGACGGTGACGGTGCCGTGGGTGTGGGCGAAGCAGAGCAGCAGCATCCAGTCGGGGTGCAGCGACGGCACCGCGATGAACCTGGAGGGGGGAAGGAGGCACCGCGGGGTCCCACAGCTCCAACCCCACACCCACGGTGCAGAGGAATGCTTTGCGGCCACGTGGGCATCCCGCACCGTACCTGACGGCGTGGAAAGCGGCCGAGAGGAGCAGCTCATTGTGCAGCGCGATGCCCATATAGCGCGGCTCGTGGAAGGCGGAAGGCACCGCACGCGCAGCCCAGCACAGCGCGCTGCCCCACAGCAGGAGCAGCAGCTCGGCTGCAGGACAAAGCACACGGCATGGGCACCTCTGTGGGTACGCGGAGCAGCGGGGAGGGCTGCGGGCACCCGGGGAGGGGGCGCTCAGCCGTCTCTCACCGACCACCATCATGTAATCCCAGCGGTCGTGGCTGCAGACGGAGAAGTGCAGCCCTCGGGCAGTCTGAGCACGGACCACCAGCGGGACGTTCCGGCCGACGTTCTCCAATGCTGCCACGGTCCACGCTGCCAGAAACCACAGCGGGGGCAGCAGCAGCAGCCCCAGAGCCCGCAACACGCGCCCGCTGGCCGTGTAGGACACACGCTGTGCTGCACGGACCAGGAACGCCCTCAGCACCCTGCGGGACACCGGGGGTGAGCGTGGGGTCGGACCTCATCCAGCATCCCAGCAGGACCCCCCCCCGTTCCCCATTACCTGTACAGCTTTAGGGTGATGGTGCCGTACACGATGGCGAAGCCCAGCACGCGCACCCAGCGCAGAGCGATGCAGCGGAAGGTGCTGGGCTTGAAGTAGAGGATGAAGACCTGGGGCGGGAGGGGGAGGGGATGGTGGAGGTGGTGCGGGGCTGCAGAGCCGTGCCCGTGTTCAGCGCACAGATCCCGAGGTGTCGGGGAGAAAGGGGAAAGGCCGCGGCAAGTGGCAGCCTGGGGACGGCCGGGCTCCCAGCCCAGCCTTTGCTCTCTGGCACACAGAGGGGGTTTGGGCGGGGGTCCCACGGCCATGGGGAGGAGGAAGGAGGTTTGGTTTCCTAAGAAGATTCTGCCCACAGCTGTCAGATCTGTGACGGCAATGCCGACAGTGCAGTGTCCTGCGTGGCGCCAGTCCTGACCCACGGCAAAGCCCCGTGGGACCCAGCTGTGCCCCATGGCAGCAGGGTGCAGCCCACGGTCTGTGGGGCTTTCTGCAGGGAGGTGCGGGGGCAGCAGGGGAGGAATTTGGCCGCGCACTCACAGGGAAGTAGAGCAGCAGCGACCCGAAGAGGATCGTCTCCAGGAGCACAACGCCCGACGCCCGGATCCTCTGCGGGGACAGAGGGCCATCAGCAGCTCCCGGGGCCCGGAGGGGGGGCGGCCCTCATTTGGGGGGCGCCCGAGGAGATGAGATCGTGAGGACCCCGCGCTGCTCTCGCCTTGCTCCGCCGGCAGTGATAAGCGAGCAGCATGCAGAGGAACACGGCCAGCATGCAGCACGCCTGGCAGCACAGCACGGCCGCACGCAACGCGCGATCCTCCTGCACCTCGCAGGGCGCATCGTCCCGGCAGTTCGCACAGCCCTCCCGGCACCGGCGGCACGCCAAGCGAGCGGCATCCTCAGGCGGCACTGCGGATGGAACGGGGGGGGGGTTGGTGTCCCAAAGCATCGCCCCGTGCGCCCTGCGGGGCTTTGGGGGGAGGTCGGGGGGTCGCACGGCACGCACCTGCCCCGCCGCTGAGCCCGTAGAAGCCCGGCTTGCAGCGACACGCGTACTGCCCCAACACGAAGCCGCGGTTCTGCTGCGGGATGCACTGCGGGATGGGGGTACGGCTGCTCTGCGGGGTCGTCCCGCACTGCGCTCATAACCACACAGGGCAGCGGGGGCTGCGGCGGCTCGGTGACAGCCGATTCCCCCCCCCCCCTCACCTCCCCCGCAACGCAGCGGTTAAACATTTGGGAATTAAAAGTCAAAGCCTGGCACCCAAATCCCCCCCTAAAACCTAAATGGACACCTAATGCGGCGCGCTGCTAATCCGGGGGGGCGGAGCGGCCCCTAATCCACGCGGTCGGGGGGGACGGGGGGCACCTCCGGGGGTCGGGACGCCGCTCAGACCCGCTGGGACCACCCCGAACTCTGAGTTGGGGTGGGGGCAGCCGATGGGGGGGTCAGCGCCAACCCCCCCGGGGATGCTCCGCCCATCGGTCCCCGCTGTCCCGACGCGGGTGGCAGCCGGGTCACCCCACGGCGCTGCCGAGGGAGGGAGATTTGCACAATAAACCGCAGAGCGGTGCGGGAGCGGCAGATGGGGGCGGGGGGGATGGGGGGGGCGGATCAGCACCGACGGACGGGCAGCGGGGACGGTGCGACGGGGGGAGGGGGGAGCGGGGCAGCCCCACTGCGCGAGGGGATCCGACAGGGTTCTAGAAGGTGGGGGTGGGTGCTGGGAAGTGGGGGGTTTAATGCTGGGATCGGTGCGGTCTGGGTACCTGGGTGCTGTTGAGGTCGCAGCGGTGGGTGCCCGCGAACCACCCCGTCCCGCTGTCGCATTGATCGATGCCCACATCCCGCAGCTCGATGTCCACCCGCACGGCTCCCCTACAAAACCGCGATGGGGTCAGACCGGGAGGGGGCACACGGGAACCGGGGGGTTGGGAGGGGGGGCAAACAGCGGTGGCAGAGCCGGGTGCCGGGACACAGAGCCATCTGGAGAGGTCCTGACCCTCGGGAGGGTCTCACATCCACACGTGCACAGCACTGCACACACGTGCATGCACAGCAACACGCGTGTCTCCCAGCATCCCCAAAGATGCACACGCATGCATGCAGTTTCACATGCACGCATGCACACACGTGCACACACACACACAGCTGCACAAACACGCTTCCCAACACGCACACACACGCAAACACAAATGCATGCACACAAGCACACTCCCCCCCTCCCGCACTCCCCCTTCTCACTCACTTGAACTCGGGGCTGAGGTCGGGCTTCAGCCCATAGAAGGCAGCAGACAGAGCGACGGCCCAAACGGGGACGAATTTCCCATCTCGGCACTCGAGGAACGGCTGCGACCACCGCACGTGGCCCGGCCCCGCCACGTACCCATCGCCCCGCCGCCACTTGGGAGTCTCCATGGAGCGCAAGTCGTTGCTCAGCACCCGTTTGCGGAGCGGAGGACCGCGCCGTTCCCGCAGCTCCGCCACCCATTCGCCGTCCGAGCTGCGGTTCCCCGGCGCGGACACGTCCCGAAGGTGGATCTCCCCGTCGACGGCCGTGGCTTGCAGCACCAGGCGGGGGGAGGGGGCAGCCGGGTGGGCGTCCAGGGCCAGCAGGGAGCGGCGCGCCCATGGATGCCCCCCCCGCCAGGCTGCGCGTCAACGCCTGGTACCATTCCACGTCCTCGGCCACGCTGGCCTCGCGGAGGTCGTTGCCCTGCAGCAGCATGTTGAGGAAATTGGCCGCCTGGGTCAGAGCTTCGGGGGCGGCCCGCAGGGCGGCTCGCAGCGCCGGTGGGGGGTCGGGCCCCGGGGGTCTCAGCGCGGCGCTGCGGCTGCAGTTGGTGAGGGCCAAACGCCGCGCGTCGCCCGTCCGCAGGAAGGAAAGCGCCGCGGAACCCTCCGGGTCCCCCCGCGGATCCGTCGGGGGGTCGTCGGGGGGCGGCGGAGCCCCCGCCCGCAGCGGCAGAAGCAGCAGCAGCAAGAGGAGGAGAAGGAAGGCGGCCGGAGCGCCCCAGAGCGGCGGCCCCCCCGGGGGGGTCATGGTGGCACGGTGCCCGCGAGCCGCGCTCCGACCGCCGCCTGTTTTCCTCCTTCGCAGACGTCACGGCCCCACGCTGCGCTCGGCGCTGCTCCGACCGCCCCGACCCCCCCGTCCCCGTCCCCCCCCCACCCCCACCCCGTGCCGCCCCCGGGCTCCGGGTCCGCCGCGGGGGGGCCAAAGACCCCCCCCCCCGCCCCGGATCGGCCGTGACGGAAGAGCATCCCGACGGGCCGCCATGGCAACCGGGTGCCGGCCCCACAGCCTCACAGCCCCATATCCTCGCATCCCACTGCCCTGTCATCCCAGTATCCCAACATCTCAGCACCCCGGTACCCCAGAAACCCGTGATGCCACCATCCCAGCATCCCCACGTCCCGTTATCCCAGCATCACAGCACCCTGTTATTCCAGTGTCCAGTTATCTCAGCATCCCATTATCTCGGCACCTCTGCTCTCAGCATCCTCACATCCCGCTTCCCATCCCCCCAGCATCCCGTTATCCCAACATCCCAGCATCCTGTTATCCCAGTATCCCAGAACCCAGCATACCACAATCCTGCTCCCCCTCTCCCCTTCAGAGGATGCTGAGAGCCCCCAAAACAGGCAGGGACGCACGTGGGGAGGGGGGGCACGCAGGGCAGCGTGCGGCCCGGGATGGGGGGCGTCCGGTTCCCTCCTGGCTGAGAGGGGAAACCGAAGGTGCAGGAACGGCAGCGCCGTGCCTCAATTTCCCCACTCGGCCGAGGGGGCGTGGCCTCTAGGGCGTGGGCGTGACCTCAAGAGACACGGGCGTGGCCTCGAGAGCGTGGGCGTGGCCTCGCAGACGATGGGCGGTGCCTGGAGGGGGCGTGGCCATGCGCGTTATGGGCGTGGCCTCGGGGATAGTGGATTGGAGCCTGGTGAAGGGGCGTGGCCAAGACCGGAAGCTGAGAGGCGTGGCCACGTGCGGTCTGCCCGCGGAGGAGGGAGCGGCGGCGGCCGTGCGGGGGGCGGCGGGACCGCTCCGCTCCCGGGGCGCCATGCGGCGGCCGTAGCGATGCAGCGCGTCGAGCTGCGCGACGGGGAGGCGGCGGCCGCGGCTTCCTACCGGGTGCTCAGCCGCCTGCTGGGCTATGGGGCCGGGCCGGAGGCGGGGGCGGCCGGCGGCCCCGGTAGCGGCGCGGCGGTTGCGGGGCCGCCGGGCCCAGGCGGAGCGCGGTTGCCGCTCCCCGTCCCCGCTCCGGGAGGGGCCGCTCGGCCGCCGCCGCAGCTGATGGTGTTCCGTAACGCCGCCGAGGGCCGGCCCGGAGAGGAGGAGGCGGGCGGCGGGGAAGGCCCGGCGGGCGGCCCCGAGCTGCTGTGCCCGCGGCATCGCTGCGCGTTGGAGCCCAAAGCGGCGGCGGTGGCGGCGGGGGGCGGCTGGGGGCCGCCGGGGGGGCTGGAGCTGCAGCTGGCGGCCCTAGGGCTGCGGCCCCCGACGCTGGGAACCAAGGGCCCCGCAGCCTGCCCGTGTCTCGGGCCGCCCGCCGCCGAGGAGACGAGCGACGCGCTGCTGGTGCTCGAGGCGCTGGAGCCCGACGAGGCCGAGAGCTGCTCCGAGGAAGAGCCGGGCAGCCCCGGCGCCGCAGACCCGCAGGAGCCGCCCCGCGGAGCCGCCGCCGCGCGGAGAGCCGGGCCCGGCCCCGGGGCAGCGGGAGGAAGGAAGGGATCGCTGCGGGTCCGCCTGAGCCGCCTCTTCCGCACCAAGAGCTGCAGCGGAGGGTCGGCCCCCGGGGACGGGAGCGGAGGGAGTCGGCGGGGAGCGGAGCTGACGGCCTCGGCGCACAGCCTGAGCGACGGCGGAGGGGCCCGGGGCCGCGGGCAGGAGGAGGGCAGGTACGGAGCCGGGTTTCGGGGCTGCTGGGGGGGCAGGATGCGCGGGCGGTGCGGGAGGGGCCGTGGAGCCCCAGGGCCGAAGCAGGAGAGCGGCTTTTGGGGGGATGTACGGGGGTCTGCGCGCCTTCCTGCGGCGTAGAGGGCTTCCCTGGGGGTCGCAGCTGGGGATGCTGGAGGTGCTGATCCCGCAGCTCTGCGCGGTGCTGCTGGGCTCCGTGGCTTCAGCAAAATGCAGTGCTCCATCCCTGCAGGTGGATGGGATCCTGGGCAGCCTTTGGGGAGCACCCAGGCTGTGGCGTGGCTCGGAACTGAGTGGGCTGTAAGGTTCCCTCCAACCTCATCCCCTTTAGGGTTTGGATTCTGAGCTGCTCCCTCCAGCTCTGCACCCCATGGCCACTGTGTCCCCCTGGTGTGGGGCTGCCAAGCTGTCGTGGAGGGGCACAGCCACCAGTCACTGCCTGGCACTGCCGACAGCTGGCCCTTATCCTTTGCATCACAGAGGACACGTGGTTTGGCTCAGCAGTGCATGGAGACCATGCGAGTCCTCCCACATCGCCCCATCCAAACATCAGGGTGTCCCTAATGGTAACCTGTGGTCTATGGGAGCCCTGAGATCAGGGGGCACAAAAGCAGCAGCAGCTCCATCACAGCCACGGAGCTGCTGTGCTTTTCCCTGGTCAGCACAGTGCTGCTGTTCTACCAAAGGTTACTTCAAGGTGCCTGATGCAGCAGCTGTTGTGGTTCAGGGCCTCAGAAAAGGCAGAGCTTTCCAGGAGTGCCCTCCTGCCCAAGAGCTCAGAGCTGCTGCAGTGCTGCTCCTTGTGCTGCAGTGTAAGGCTTCTCTCTGAAAGCTGCATCTGTGGGGCTGCTCTTCTTGCACCTGCAGTTCAGAGTTGGTGCAGGTTTAGCAGTGGTTCTGCGGTCGGCTCAGCAGCCCAGGCTTCTGAGTTGGAGGGCCGACCTGACCTTGTTTGGTACTTCATCTCTGTGCGATGGTGGTGTGGGAAGGCTGTGGTTGTGCTGCGTGGCTCTGGTTGGCGAGGGCAGCTCTCATCCTGCTGCAGGTGTTGGTCTGAAGTCTGTTTTTGAGGAGTGCGTGGCTGATCGCCGATGAACCGTCCTCCTTTGGGAGCTGGGGAGCAGCTGAACCCCCAAACAGGCACGAGAGACCTGAAAAGGAAGCAGTTGGATGAGCTTTTATATCTTGAGATGAGTTCCCTCAGCTCCAGGTTCAGCAGAGTGCTCCCAAAGTGCCTGTGATCATGCAGTGTGTTTGAGGCACAGTGTTGGGTTTGGAGCAGCAGTGCTGCCTGTTGTGAAACAGCTTCTTGGCTCCAGCAACCACACTTGCTTGGGGTTTTCTTTCCTAAGACTTGATTAATCACCTTGCCAGAGATTTGCTTAGCAGCAGGACGGAGCCCTGGCCTTGCTGGTTGGCTGTCCTACTTAAACCAGAGCTCTGCTCCAGGGGTTGGATCAGCACATGCTGCTGTCTGCAGGCTGGGTGCATCCTGCTGAGGGTTCTCCCAGCCCGAAAAAGATCAAATGAAGCCCGTTCATGATTTCATCCCCCTCCCCCATTATTTTGTATTTCCAACAGGAAACACAGACTGACAAGAACTCAAAGTGCCTTTTCCCCGGTTGTTTTCAGCCCCCTCTTCACAGGTAAGGATTTGAAGGGGCTGCACTCTGGTCTTCTGCAGGGCAACGTGTGCTGAGCGCTGCAGGATTCAGGCAGATTCCCGGGTGCCACGTGTGTTCATTGAGCAGCAGGGCTGCTCAAAGCCAGGGCTGCTCCTGCTCTATCAGCTGTTGCTGGGGGAAGATGGGAGCGTAGGATTTGTAGTTCCTGCACCTGCTGGCACCTCAGCACCTCTCAGCTTCCTTTGAAGCAGCCCAGCATACCTGGATGCTGTTGGCAGGGTGTGGAAATGAAAGAGCATCTGCATGCACACGTGTGCATCTACACCCACAGAGCCCCAGGGGAAAGCACCTCGGGTAAGGACTGCACCTAAATACCCCTCTAATGATACTGATTAATGGGCAGAGAGCTTTCACAGGCAGGAGGAAGCTGAGTCAGTGCTGTCCTAGGCTGAGTGTCAGGGCAGGTTGCAGGAGGTCGGGGAGCTGCTGCTGTTGCTGCTGCTATTGCTGCTGCTGGAGCACATCTGGGGGGGTTGAAGTGGTCTCTGAGGCTGTGGGTGCAGAGATCTTGGTGCTGCTGGTGGCTGGCAGCTGGTTGGGCTGAATTCTGACCGACGCCTCCGTTGTGGCAGCGGCACGTTGGTTGTTGGCAGTGCTTCTTTATTGGTGCAGTGCTGAGGCTTTAAGTGGGGTTTGATGGCTTCGTTTTTTCTCCCACGATTTTAGAGTAAGCTCAAGCTTTCCCACTTTACCTTGGACGTCTTCATATCGTTGCTTTCCCCAGGCTCTGTCCCGAGGTCAGAGCCTTTAGGCTCTATCCCACTCCCTTGTGAATGTCAAGAGTTGATCCCTTCATGGCCTGCAGGCTGAGATGTATTTCTCTTAAACCACCCGAGTCACCTGCATGCAAAACCTGACCAAGAGCTGACGGGATCTGCTGCCCCTTCCCCTGCCCCTCTGCCTCCCCTGGTGCTCACAGTTTTCCCTCTGCCATCCTCCAGGTGAAACGGTGTCTCTGGTGGACGTGGACATCTCTCAGAGAGGACTGAGCTCCCCTCACCCCCCGACTCCACCGCCGCCTCCGCGCCGAAGCCTCAGCCTGCTGGGTACGTGGTCTGTTTGGGTGCAGGGCTTCTCTCTGCTGCCCCACAGCGTTTCTTGCTGCTCCTCCATAGCATCAGCATCTTC